GCTTGGATCGACTTGCTCGATGAGTGCGATTAAACTGTCCAAGTCCACCGCCCCACCGCGATCTCGACGCTCTCGATCGTCCGCGCCCGTCTTGGCGCCCCCATGGGCGTGTGAATTCATCGCGTCACTCGCGTTATACCCGCGCGCGCTCATCGCCTGCCGTCCCTGCGTGCTCGTCCTGCCCGCGTCTCTCGTCTGTCGTCCTCGCTCGGCCATCGGCTTCGCCTCATGCGCCGCGCTCACCGCGCCCTCGCGAACGCGCGTCCCCGCGTCTCGAACAACGTTCTCTGTCACACCGTTCCGATCTCCACTCGCCGCTATCTTGGCCCACATCGTTATTCGCGCTCGGCTTCGCTCGGCGCGCTATCCGTCTCTCGTCTCGCCCTGTCCACCTCTGCGTCGCCCTCGCCCTCGCTCGTCGTGCCGAAACCGCGTGGACGCGAGCGATTCGTTCGTTTTCTTCGTTCCGTGTTCACTATCGATCGTTCGTCCGATCGTTCGTTCGCTCCGACGACGAAACCGATCGCCTCGTCGCGTCTCGGCGTATCTTTTCCCACCCGGGACGAGAAGCCCAATCGTCACGCTCGGGTGCCACGGGCGTTGCGCGCGCGCGTCTCGAGCGCGCGCGCGTCGAGGGATGTCTCGGGAACGACCGCGCGCGATGCCGGACGTGATCGCGCGCGGGGAATCGATCGCGCTCGATCGCGACGACGACGCGCGCGCCTTCTCTGAGGGATAGGGCGACGACGGCGTGGGACGGGCGTCCCAACCGTCCCGGGAAAGATTCTGTCCGGGAGGGACTCGAGGAGGAGTCATGAGTCGTGACTGGTGAAACTTGATCATCACACGCGCGCGCGAGACAAACGCTACAGCCGGCGACGCGACGCTATTCGACGCGCTCACTTCTTTTTCGTCTTCTTCTTACCCGAACCCGTTCCCATTAAATCATCCACGTCCAGCGAACCGTCGCCCGTGACGTCGAGCTGGCGAAATCTTCCGTCGATTTTATCCACATCCTCGGCGCTGAGCACGCCTCGGGCGACAATCATGGCGCGAAGAAAATCGTACCTGTCCACGTATCCCTTATCACCGCCTTGCTCCGCGAGCCATTTCGCGCTTAAAGAGAACGAACGAAGCTCTTCTTGGTGCTTTGCCGACGCAGAAATGCTCGAACTCGCGATCTGGCTCACGGCCCAACCCATCACGCCGACGACGAATAACGCGTAGAACGAGGCAAAAATCTTCGCCTTGTCGGTCGTTGGCAGAATATCACCGTAGCCCACCGTCGTTGACGTCACGACCGCCCACCAGACACCGTCTAGGTAGGAGATTTCAGGCTCGACCGCACAAAATGTCGCGGCGCCGATGAGTAAAACGATGATAATCACGCTGACTGGGTGATACACGACGCGAACGACGGGATGCGGCGCAGCGGACTCATCATGCCCAGACTTCGCATCCTCAGAGAAACGCGAGAGATCTTCTGCACTTAGAATGTTTCCAAGTTTTTGGCGCAGCATCATCAAATCCTTTTCCATCGATTGCTCGAGGCGTGCTTGCGCGGCGAGTTCGCTCGCTTCCTTTGCCGAGATTATCAAATCTGTGATTTTCGAAATCACCACCGTCGCGAGCGATATTCCGCTGATGATGACGAAAATCATGAAAACCTTGCCTTTGTCCGTCGTGGGCGTGATATCACCGTATCCAACCGTCGTCACCGTGATCGCCATGAAGTAGAACGCGTCCACAAAGCTGAACTCGGCGCCGCTCGAAGAATCAAACGCCTGTAATCCAAGAATGGCCACGAAGATGTACACCAAGAACAGGATCCAGAGCTGTTGATACACCACCTCGGACGCCTTAGCCATGTATCGCTTGAGTATATCGATGATTTTCTCCGGCTCGCGCGCTTCTTCCTCTCTCAGGAGCGCCTCCTCCAGCGCTTCCTTTCTCGAGCGCTGCCTCATCAACGCATCCTCGTCCATCTCTCCCATCATCGCCGCATCCGATCCCGAGCGAGAATACGATCTCCCGAGCTCCAAATCAGCGCCCGGTGACGCCGAAGCATCGTCGTTCACGGCTCCGTACGTCGTCGAAGGTTTGCTCATGCCGATGTCGATTTGTCAACACCAAATGCGACGCACGCGAGGGGAACGCGAGGGTTGGCAACCGCGTATCGTTCGCGACGACGCGCGCGCGGACGAAGAGGCGCGCGCGCGTCTCCGGCTCGATCGCGTCTCGATCCGTCGCGCGTCCGACGGTTGTGAGCGACGACCGAGTCCGACGCGGTGTCGTCGCGATCGCTTTACGCGACGCCGAGGGACACTTTCACCGGTCACGACTCAGAGATGGGTGTTTCTCATACGTTGCACACGATCCATCCATGGACGTACACAAAAATCCGCATCCATCGCCCGCGCGCGCGGCCGCGGCCTCGACGTCGTCCGCTCGCGGTCCGTCTCCCCGCACTCGCGCGCGTTCGATCGACCGCGCGTGAGGTCATTCGCGTCCGCGGAGCGCGCGCCGAGCCCGGTCGATCGTACGTCTCGTCCAAAGCCCGATGGCGTTCTCGGTCTCGGCGAAACCCTCAGCGGGTCGCATCGCCGCGCGCGTCACGCGCGCGCGCGTCGGTCGACGCTCGGTCGCCGTGTGCGCGTCGAAGAGGTATAACATTACCATTCTCCCGGGCGATGGTATCGGTCCGGAGATCATGAAGGTGGCGCAGTCGGCACTCACGGAGGCTGGGAAGAAGCGAGACGTGGAGTTCGCGTACACGGAGGCGCTCGTGGGTGGGTCGGCGATCGACGCGTACGGCACGCCGCTGCCGGATGAGACGCTGGAGGTGTGCAAGGCGTCGGATGCCGTGCTCTTGGCCGCGATCGGGGGATACAAGTGGGACAACTTGCCGAGCGCGCAGCGACCGGAGCAGGGGTTGCTCGGCTTGCGCGCCGGTCTGGGCGTCTTCGCGAACTTGCGCCCGGCGAACGTACTCCCGCAGCTCGCCGACGCCTCGACGCTGAAGAAGGAGGTTGTGACTGGAACGGATATCATGGTCGTTCGCGAGCTCACCGGTGGTATTTATTTTGGTAAGCCGAAGGGTTTTGGCGTGAACGAAGCAGGCGAGCGCACGGGCTTCAACACGATGATTTATTCCGAGCCCGAAGTCGATCGCATCGCCAAGGTCGCATTTGAGATCGCTCGCAAGCGCCAAGGTCGTCTCTGCTCCGTTGAAAAGGCGAACGTGCTCGAGGTGAGCCAACTTTGGAAGGAACGTGTCATCGAAGTGCACAAGGACTATAGCGACGTCGAGCTCTCACACATGTACGTCGACAACGCCGCGATGCAACTCATCCGTCGCCCGACGCAATTCGACACCATTGTCACCGGTAACATCTTCGGTGATATTCTCTCCGATGCCGCATCCATGTTGACCGGTTCCATTGGTATGTTGCCGTCTGCCGCCATTGGCTTGGACGGCCCCGGCTTGTACGAGCCGGTGCACGGGAGCGCCCCGGACATCGCTGGCCAAGACAAGGCGAACCCGTTAGCGCAGGTGCTGAGTGCGGCGATGATGATGCGCTACCAGTTTGGTGAAGAGGAAATTGCCGCCGCGCTTGAAAAGGCAGTGAACGACGTCCTCGATGACGGCTACCGCACTGGCGACATCATGCAGGAAGGCATGAAGCTCGTGGGCTGCCAGAAGATGGGTGAGCTCCTCCTCGCTAAGCTTTAGACGACGATAATCAGATTAGCCCTAAAATCTAATACAAACTCGGGAGCTACGGCAACGGCGTTCCAATTCTCATACCCAGCGCTGTCCTCCACGCATCCGATCGTAATCCCCCGCGACGAACGCGTTCGCCCAGATTGAACATGCGACTCAACGTACTTCGTACATCCGTTTCGGAAGCGAGCTCGTCAAGAATCGGTAGAAGGAATAACAAATGATTGTCTTTGTCGTCGTCGTACCAGGACTCGATCGGAATCCCGTTTTCGACCTGTAATCCAAACGCCTGCGGAGAGTTGTCAATGATTATCGTCTTCGATAAATCGCGACCAAGCACGCGCAAGTCCTTCATATAATTTCCCTCTATTTGTACGCAAGAATCGCGGAAGACTCTGTGAGCGATCCACTCCCGCTTCGGATCGAGCAAATCGAGCAATTTATCGGCGTAAATTTGCTGCGACGCGGTGAAAACGACAATCTCATACTTTTTAGACACCGTTTCCATGAATGTTTGCAGATGAGGTCGCGTCCTGACATTGACCTGATGAATTTCACCGTTGAAAACAACGGGAAACGAAAAGTCTGATTTCCCACCGGTATTTTCCAAGTTGGAGTGCACGAGAGTCTCGTCGAGATCGAGTACCAAGGTGTTCCTATTGTCATCCTTCGCCCGAGCCGGTAGCACGGGGCCTCGCGGGCCGTTCGTCACAGCGCACGGAGAAGAAAACTTCAAATTGTAGATGAATGCCCACGGATCGTACTCTTCGTCGTAGTCTTCGTAGGGTACCGACGCGGCTTCGTCGCTCGTCATCCCGAATCGATCGAGGTACTCTCTCGCCGACAACTGCTCGCCACCGTACAGCTCGACCTGTTTGCCATCCAAATCACCAATACTTCGCATCGCATTGTGTATCGAGCTCATGCTTAAGTTTGGTATCGCACCGTCGGGCTCGATCTCGAACTGATCATCGTCTGTTTGCTTCGACTTTTTCGACTTCGATCTACGATTTTGCTTTCTCGTGCCCCCACTGCTGCTAAAGAAGGAGAACATCGGCGAAAAAATCGTGTCGAGGAGCTTCCTCGATCCGGACCTCTTGAGCTTTACGTTTTTTGGCGACGCTAGAACGTCCTCGGCCAACTCCACCGAATCATCGTCATCGACATTGTCGCCGAAACGCGAGCTCAGATTTGTTGGCGCCACGGTTTCCGCCCCTTGTGCCCCTCCGTTTCCCGTTCGTCTCACCGTGGATTTTCTCTGCACCGAGCTCGTGATAAAAGACGCTCCCCCAATTCCCCCGACGGTCGACCTTGGCGTAGCCGCGGACTCATCTTTCGATCCCGACTGTGACCTCAGTCTCTTCTGTCCCGCCTCTGTCTCGGTGTCTGACCCGTCCCGCGGACGCTTCGCCTCGCGTTCGCTCCGTCGTAGCGACTTGAAGAGCTTCATTGCGCTCCCAACGATCCCGCTCGGCCGCCTCTCCTCGTCAGAATCAGAAGATCTACGTCGCATCGAGAGTTCATAATCGTCAGTCTCGTGAGCGCCGCCAACCGCCCGCAGACGCGCGTCCCGCTCGCTTTGCATTCTCTCGTCTTCCACCCGTTCAACGTCGTCGAACTCACTATCGCACCTCTCGTGGTCTTCAACGGTATCGTCACTCGTTTTATCTCTGTTCACTCGCGCTTTCTGTTCACGAGACGTTCGCATCGAAGGTAAAATGCGTCGAGAGAATTAATTCAATTCACCCGACGAACGTCTCGTCTGTTGCGACGAATCGGCCCTGTCTCTCACGATGCGTCTTATCGATGAACGACGGCGATGTTGCGTGAGTCGTTCACGTTCACACGCGTCGGTCGAGCGTGAGACGCTCTGGGGGGGCGGGCGGAATGAAATGGAACGAACTGCACAACTGCTCACAACTTCTCCGAGAGCCTTGTTCCCCTTTGGGAAGGCCTTGTGACAGTGAAGAGACGCTTTCCTACGCGGATGTCAAATCCTCGGCGTCTCTGACGGTGACGTCGGTTCGATCGACTCTAGGGGTGAAAAACGAACGAATCGTCTTCTGCGAGTCCTCGTCCGTGCGGTTGACGCCGAACTTGCGCTTCTGCGCGCCAGAGTGCTTGACCTCGCCGCGCGCGCACTTGGCGTACACCTTGGCGACGCCCGAGGTGAAGATGCCCGACTCCTCGAACGCCCGAGCGGGGAACCACTTGACGTTGGGAAAATCAACTGAAATCAACTCGTTCGAATGTTCGCAGTCCGCGGTCTCGACGTGCACGAGTTGGTAGTGCATCACCTGACGCACGTGCGAGAAGACGTGCGCCGCCTTGCCGGATACGGCTTCGATGCGTCGATGAGTGGACGACGCTACGAGAGCGTCACAGATGGCCTCATGAGCCTCAGTGACGTCCGATTTCGGGCGATTCGCGAACGCGTCGTCGGTTTCGGTCGCGATGAGAGAGTTTGGGAACTCCCAGAGCCCGCTCAACAAACCACCCTCGGGCCGTTTCGAGAGCAAGTACTCGAAGCCCGCCTCCTTCGTGCCTCGTCGAAGGACAACGTACGCGCGCTGTTCCTGACGCTTCTCCGCCTTCTTTGCCGTCTCTGGGAGCTCTGTGACCTTGAAAACGCCGCTTGTCTCGCGCTCTCTGCTCAAGCCCTCGCACCAGGCTGCGATCGGACACTGCGCACACTTTGGATTTGTCGGAGTGCAAACCGTAGCTCCGAGCTCCATCATCGCTTGATTGAAGTCCCCTGATCTTTCAGCGTCCACGAACGCGTCCGCGACTCTACGAAGCTCCTTTGCGGTCTCGCCCTTCGTCGGATCCCCCTTGATGAGTCTCGCGCGCGTCAGCACGCGGTGGACGTTCCCGTCCACCGCCGCCGTGCGCTCGCCGAAGGCGATGCTCGACACCGCGCTTGAGGTGTACGGGCCGACGCCTGGAATCTTCAAGAGCTCCGCTGCCGTTCGCGGATACCTCCCCCCGAGGTCCTCACTCACGTACTTCGCCCCTTTCAACAGAAAACCAGCCCTTCTGTAGTATCCCAACCCCGCCCACTCCTCATTCACGTCCTCTTGCGATGCCTCGGCGAGCGCGCGCGCGGTGGGCCACCGCGCGACCCATCGCGTCCAATACTCCGCCACGCGGTCGATCTGCGTCTGCTGACTCATGATCTCGCTCACCAACACCCCGTACGCGTATTGATCGTCACCCATAACGCTCGCCTCACCGTCGCTCGTCTCTCCTTCAAACGCTCGTTCTGTCCACATCCGCGCCGCGTCCGCTACGGTTACCGCCTCCGCCTCCGCCTCAACCTCAACCTTTACCCGTCGTCGTCTCCTCGTCATCACTCGCCACGGAAGTTCGCGCTTGTTTGCATCATACCACGCCAAAATACTTCGTCGTGCATCGTCGTCCAGCGCCCGCATCGTCGTCGTCGTCACCGTCGTCGTCGTCGTCGCGTTTGAATCATCATCCTCTTCACCCGTTTTCAACGCATCGTTCGTCGCCGTCGCCTTACCAGCGTCCTCATCGATCGTTCTCATCGACGCTTGAGAGAACGACACCTTCCCGCGTGTGCGCTCGCGAGTGTTCGACGTGAGACGGACCAAAAAACGCGGTCTCGCGATTCGCATGCGCGTCTGCGAATGAAGAGAGGCTCCGAGCGAGCGAGGCGTTCGATTCGAACGCGAATGCGAACAAGGACGCGCGTGTATCGCGAGCGGTGAAAACTGTGTCTACTAAAATCATTATCAAAGTCGTTCGTCGTCCCATCGTCGTCCCGGACGCGCGCTCGCGACGCGCTCGTCGTCGCATAAAAATACAGTCGGGCGTTCGCTCTCAGCGTCTCGCGCTCACCCGGCTCCCGTTCCCGCCCCGATTTCCATCCAACTATCCTCCACGACCGCGGCGACGCGTTTATTATACGCCCGCCTGTTCTCGTTGTACAGCGCCGCCGCCTCCGAGTTCGCCGGTGAGTTCGGATTGGGATCGCATAGGAGCGACTGTATACTGGTCAGAATGGCGCCCACGTCGTAAATCGGGCTCCACTGGTTTTGTAAAATGTCCAAACAGATCGACCCGTCGTTGTACACGTTCGGGTGGAACATCTTTGTCACGAATTTCACCACCGGCGCCTTGTTCGGATACTCTTCACTGAACGCGATCGTCAACTTAAACGTTCCGCCCTCCCACGGCGTCCCCTCCGGTCCGAAGATCACCGCGTGCCAAGACATGATGTTTGATTCGCTCGGTGTACCGCTGATCCCGGCCGGCGGGTCGGTTTGCAAGCGCTTGAAATCACGCATCAAACGTTTCCTCGCCGGCGTGCTCATGGCGTAACGTCGGTGCGTATCGAGACGAAGGAGATTCAACGAGAAGGTGGTGTCTCGGTGACTGACTGTACTGTACGTGTCTCTGACGACGACGCGTGCGGCGCGCCGCGCGACTCGCTCGGCGTCGACTCCGTCGTCACGCGTTCGCGGACGTCTACGTCGAGGCGCGCGGTCGACGAGGACGACGAAAGAGCGCGGCGAGCCTCGAAGTGAGGCTTTGGGAACGAGGGCTGAGCGGGACATCCGGGCGAGTGGACGGGTCGGTTGGAGACAAGGCGCGATGACGAGGACGATGCGCGCGTGCGCGCGCGCGTGCGCCGTTTAAAACAATGAGATGTGATCACAACTCACTTCCGCGCTTCCTCCTCGCGAATCTCGCGCTCGATTTCGGCTCTCAACATGGCTCGGATCTCGTCTCGGAGGTTGGCTACGGCGTACCGCGCGGCGGCGCTCGGAGGACGAGTCTTCGGCGCCGAAGTGCGCATGGCCTCAATCTCGCGCTCACGTACGCTCAATACTTCCTCGAGCTCTCTCGCCTTATTCGCCGCCTTCTCGCGCTCGCGCGATTCGTACAGGAGGGTGAACTCCCACGCCTCCCTTTCGCTCTCCCACGTCTCCCGCTCCCGCTCGATCTCCGCTAAATCGTCCGCACTCGCCGCGAGAGCGGCCAGGGCGTCTTCCAAATCGCGTTCTAACGTTTCTGCCCGCGCCACGGCCTCGTCCGCCGCGCGCGCGACGTCTCGCGCGAAGGCGACGATCTCGTCCGTCCCGCTCGATGTGGACGACGACGCCGCCCCTCGACGACTTCGCGACTCCGAAGCCGAAACGCTCGCGTCCTCTAGATCCATCGCCTCGATCGCGCTCGCGGCGTCGCTCGCCATTCTAAACACCTCCCCTGTCTCGCGCTGGACGAGCGATCGCGCGCGCGCCAAGGGTGTCGTCGTCGTCGTCGTCGCTCCGTTCGCTCCGAGCGGCGACAGGGCGATTCGCGTCGGGTCCACCGCGCTCTTCGCTCGCGTCGATCTCTTCGCCCCGAACGACGACGACGTGGATCGCGTCGCTTTCACCGTCTTCATCCGTCGCGTATCGTTTTCCTTATCGACCGTCGACGCGAGATCATTCACCGGTGGTGCCGATTCGACTTCCGTTCCCCTCTCAAACACATCGACGTCGATTCGAGCCTTTATCCCGCACGCGCCCGCGGAGAGGGCGCGGTTGAGCATGATGATATTATGCTTTCGACCGACCGCGCGAACGCGACGATTCTCGCCGACGCGCGAGCGTCGGCGTGTGCGGCGCGTGCGAGGCGACGCGACGTTACTTTCGCGCGAAGCGCTCACGGAAATCCTAGGCTAAAAAGTGTCGTTGAAACGAACTATGCGCTACGGAAGAGACGCTCAGTGCGGTGGCGGTGGCGGTGGCGGCGGCACCGTCATCATCGGCGGCGGCGGCGGCGGCGGCACCGTCATCATCGGCGGCGGCGGCGCCGTCATCATCGGCGGCGGCGGAATCGAGCCCGGCGGGGGAAGTCCCGCGCGAGCGCCTCCTTGGCGTCCAACACCCGCGCCGTCGGTGCGTTTGAGCGTAATCTGACACGTGTACGTCTTCACGTCGGGATCCCAATGGGTAAAAAACTTATCGGCGCCAAACTTGTCCACCTCGACGTTTGGAATCTTAAATCCGACGGTTTCGTACGGCTCGCACGCGAACAAGACGTACTGATACCGCTTATCCCACGCCTCCACCTTTTGTTCGTACGCCGACATGAACCTATACCTCGGTTTCGTCCCGCGCTCGCACTCGGGATAATCCACCTGGAACAACAGCGAGCGCTGTCGCGTCCGCGGATCGAATTGTTTCGTCACGCGATACCCCGGTCGCCCGATCTTCGTCGTCTTCCTCGGCGCAATCTTCGCCGCCCGCGACGGCGCGCTCACCCCGGCGTCCCGCGCGTCCCTCGCCGCGCGCTTCGCCAGATTTTGTTGATGTCTCTTCCCCTGCGTGTGCGCCAAGTAATTCCCTTCATTCGCGTGCAAGGTCAAGCACAGTTTACACTCGTACGACCCCAAGTGATTCTTCATGAAGTACGGATCTCTCGCCAGATCGATCGTCTCCAGGGCGAGTCGTCGGAGCCGCTCCCGTCGATCGGCGTTCGCACGCGACGCCGAGGCGACGCCGCCGCTCCCAATCTTACTCCCCACGTCTCGCGCATCCATGTACGACATCGTCGCCGTCGATCGTCCGTCTCGCGCGCGCTCGACGCGTCGACGTGTGCGTCACCCGCGCGCGCGCTCGACGCGGTCGTCTCGCGTCGCGCGCGACGGCGACGGGCGACGACGGCGGCGCGATCGCGATCGTCCGTGTGTGGGGCCCATCGACGAGTCGTGACTCATACATAGCCCCACCATCGCGCATCCACGACGCGCCATCGCGCGACGCGCCGCGCGTCGAGACCGCGTTCGGGGGTCGCGATCGCGCCCGCGTCGACCACGGCGCGCGGTGGAGGTCTCGCCGAAGACGCGGACGATGGCGACGGCGACGCGATGGGCGATCGCGATCGCGTCGATCGGGTCGACGCGACGACCGACGGCGACGCGACGGAGGACGACGACGACGACGATGGGCGGGACGGTGACGCGCGCGGACGGCGCGTTCGTTCGTGGGCACGGGCGAGCGGGTGACCGGGCGCGCGCGGGACGGCGAGGGGCGACGATCGCGCGGAGTAAGACGCCGCGGGTCGAGGCGAGGGACGGACGCGCGGCGACGGCGACGGCGCGCGAAGCCGAGGACGCGGATGTGGACGCGGACGAGGACGCGCTCGCGGACGGGGTCGAGGATGAAACGAACGATGAGGTTCGAGAGGGATTGACGATCGAGGAGCTCATGGAGGAGGCGACGGAGGAGGAGGTCGAGGAGCTCACCGTGCTCGGTAGGGTGACGGAGGGCGTGCGCAAGGCTGGGGAGAACCCGGGACTGAGGAATCTGGGTGCGCTCGCGCTCTTTTTCCTCGCGAGCACGTTGACGTACTCGTGCTATAAGGTGTACCGCAAGGCGACGAGCGGACGGGCGAAGCGCAAGCGCACGGTGAACAAGAACGTCGAGGTCGTGGAGCGCTTGAAGAACTTCTTCCCGAATGAGCGCGATAGCTTGAACAAGGGCGTCTTGAAGGGGATCTCGCTCAAGACTGGGTACTCGCAATCGGAAATCGTGCGAAAGTACCTGCGATACAAGCTCACGGAGGAGGCGTTCACGCTCGATTTCGTGGCGGACATGTTGGCTCTCAAAAAGGCGAGCGGGTTGACTAGTGGAGACATCAAGGGCATCCTCTTAGAGACGGGCGAGCGCATGTTCAAGAAGTACGGTACCCTCATGACCAACCTGGCGGGTTTGACGCAATCAGGTATGGAGCGTAAGATTGACGGCGCGGGGAAGTTTGCCAAGCTGATGTATCTCGCCGACCTGGACGAGTTGGTCGACAAGGAGGACGGATCCGAGGTGCAGCTCAAGCTCAAGGAGACGTTCGGGGCCACCGATGAGGACTATGAAAAAGTTCGAATCACCGCTCTGGGTGCGGACGAGGTCGACGTCAGCTCCTTGAACCAGATGATCGGGGCCGTGGAGAGCTCCGAGGTTGAGTCGACTGAATCTTCGCAGAGCGAAGAACAATAGTCGCCCGACTCGTCGTCGCTCGCGAATTCATTTACAATCCCACGAAGTTGCTATTTCATCATCGCCACTTAATCTATCAAGTTGTTGTCAACATCACAAGAACTCACGACGTCTTGAACGCGAGCACGTCGTCCTTTCTCTCTCGCGCGCGTCTCACACCTCAGTGTTCGACGCGTCGCACCGTGCGCGCGTGACTCTTCAGCCACACGGACGCCGTGTGCTCGTCCGTGTGCGAACACCGAACGACGTTCGTGCGTGGACGACTTCGCTCCGAACGACGTCGTGCACTGTCGAGCGAGAATTCTTTCACACTGACGAATTGTAGAATTTCCATCGTCGATCGTGATGTCCTCCTCCGAAGGGTTACCCGCGCAGTTCGCGACATCGTGTTCGGTCACAAACAGAGAAAACGTGGTGGTGTGCGACACCGGGACTGGGTTCGTCAAGGCTGGGTACGCCGGTGACGAGGCGCCGCGCGTGGTGTTTCCGTGCGTCACGGGACGACCGACGCTGCGATACGAGGAGGCGATGGCGAGCGAGGAGGCGATGAAGGACATATACGTCGGTGATGAAGCGGCGCGACGACGAGCGAACCTTGAGATATCGTACCCGGTGTCCAACGGCGTGGTGAGGGACTGGGATGACATGGGTTTGGTGTGGGACCACGCGTTCGAGCGGCTCGGGTGCACGCCGGAGGATTGCAAAATCATGCTCACCGATCCACCGTTGAATCCAAAGGCAAACAGAGAGCGAATGATGTCGACTATGTTTGAGACTTACGGGTTTCGGGCGGCGTACGTGCAGGTGCAGGCGGTTCTGACGTTGTACGCCCAAGGTCTCATGACGGGCATTGTAGTGGACTCGGGCGACGGCGTGACGCACATCGTGCCCGTGGTGGACGGGTTTTCGTTTCCACACCTCACCAAGAGACTTAACGTCGCCGGTAGACACGTGACGACGCGGATGGTTGATTTATTGACTCGGCGAGGCTATCCACTTAATCGTTCGGCGGATATGGAGACGGCTCGACTCATAAAGGAGGATTTGTGTTACGTGGCGTACGACTACAAGCGAGACTTACAATTGGCGCGAGAGACGACGGCGACGAACGCGTCGTACACGCTCCCGGATGGGCGAGTCATAAAGTTTGGTCCTGAGAGGTTTATGGGTCCGGAGTGCCTGTTTCAACCGGACCTGATCGACGTCGAGGGAGACGGAATCTCCGACCTCGTCTTCAAATGCATCCAAGAAAACGAAATTGACAACCGGCGCGCGCTGTACCAACACATCGTTCTCTCCGGAGGGAACTCCATGTACGCCGGTCTTCCATCGCGCCTCGAGCGTGACATAAAGCGACTGTATCTCAAGAATGTCCTCGATGGCGACAGAGAGGCGATGAAGAAGTTCAAGCTCAAAGTTGAGGCGCCGGCGCATCGTAAGCACATGGTCTTCGTTGGCGGCGCCGTTCTGGCGGACATCATGCGAAGTAAAGATGAGTTTTGGATATCCAAAGAAGAGTACGAAGAGCAGGGGATAGAGCGCGCGCTAAAGAAATGCGGCATGTAAGGCGACCGAAGCGTCTGTGCTACGACTACTAGTTGTCATTTGCAACCTTCTATCTAGTGTTCAGCTCTCACCGTGCGCTCAACCGATCGATATCTCCCTCGACATTCTGCGCTGAACCAATGTGAGGGGATCGACGACGTACTCCCATATCTCTCGATCGTCGTCGTCGTACTCGAATCCCAACCGCGCGAACATCGCGCGCGCGTTCGCGTTCCACTTATTCACCGTGAGCGAGCACTTCGTCGCCCCGAACTCCTCCCTCCCAATCGATTCTATCTCCTCCACGATCGCCCGTCCGATCCCGCGTCTCCTGTGGGTCTCTTTCACCTCCAAAGAGCTCACGAAGACGCTCGCATCGCCCTTTTTCGTCCTCTTCATCCAACACGCCCCTCGTCCGACGATGGTGGATTCGTTCGCGATGTCTCTCGCTACAACGCGACGCACGCCCGCGGTGGGCGTCCGCGCGCGCGTACCGACGACGCGTTCGATCACGATCGCTTTGTCGATCGACATCGCCGCCCTCGCTCACGGCGCGGTGTGACGAACGAGCCATCGCATCGGGTGGTTGCGTCTTGCATTGCTCGCTCGCGTTCGATAATGCGTCCGTCTTGGGACGGTATACGACGATCGTTCATCGCACAACGCGAGCGAGTGTCGGACGCGCTCTCAGACGCCCTGGCGACGACGTCGTTGGGCTCCGGGACGAGAGAGAACGATGTGAATGGACGGATTCAGACGAATCTCGACGGAGACGTCGGGGAGAGCGAGCGTCGGGACGGGAGCGGAACGAGTCGAACGCGACAATTCTTACGTCGAATAGCGCGACGGGACGGCGGGAACGGGACGTCGACGAAGGTGTCGGAGGGGTTTCGCGCGCGGTACGAGAGCGAGAGTGAGACGGAGAGCGCGGGGACATCCGCGGCGGAGCGGAGCGTGTTGGCGACGTGCGCGCGGGCGGAGCTCACGAACGTCGGTTCGGGGAGAGTTTTCGTCGCGATGCGAGTCATAGGTGAGCGTGGGGTTGCACGAGGGCGTCGCGTGCGAACGTCGTGTCGAGGGAAGACGAAAACACCGGTGTGGAACGCGACAAGAGATTTGCGATGTGACGCGTCGGATCGAGACGCGTTGTGCGTGGACGTCTACTTGGGACAGAGCGTCAAGGGGATTGAGAAAGCGTCTCTCATTGCGCGAGGACAAATATCGATGGCGTTCGCGTTCGCGAACGAGGGTCGGGAGGTTCCGGTACCGCTACACACGAAGCTCGAGCGTGCCGGGGCGGTCGGCACGGTCTGGATTCGAGTCACTCGAACAGGCGCTTTGCAGGGGTCGCGCAAGCGAATTTTCTTCGTTCGACACGGTGAGAGTAAGTGGAATGAAGCTCAGAGAGACATAAATTTCGCGAGCATGATGAAATTTGACCATCCACTCACTTTAGTCGGAGTGCAACAGTCTCAAGCGCTTGGCGAGCGTGCCGCCATTGCGTGCTCTCACGGTCGTGCCGGAATTCTCGTGAACGCGAATGTGTCGAGCATGTCGCCACCAACGTTGAGTCCACCGTCTTCGCCGCCTCCGTCTTCGCCGTTCAGATCGACGTCACCGGTTAAGGAGCATCAATACAGTGCTCAGGGCGCAGAGCTGTGCGCCTCGTATGAGGAGTGCTTGACGTGTTACGTCTCACCGCTTACGAGAACCGTCCAGACATCTTGTCTATTACTGCAGAGCCACCCAAACACGTTCATCGGAAAAATGCGTCAAGTGTGTTTGCAATCACTCAGGGAAATTAAAGGCGTTGGAGGTCTGGATACTGTCGGTATTGAACAAGGAGACGCTATCCTCGAACGCGCGCGAAAAAAATTGGCAGAGCTCGTGAATGACGGCGGTCACTCCGCGTCGCGTCTCAGTTCCGGAATTGCATTTGACTCTAACGATGCCGTCGGTCAGTGGTGGACGAGTGAAACCGATTCCGACAACTCGCAAGACGTCGACGAGCGCATGTTTGACTTTCTGGAGGCGATACGTTTCGACGAGGATGAAGCAGTGATCGTAGTCGGGCATTCGCTGTTCCTCCAACAGCTCATCTCCAGAATCGTCCCGACAGGCGACGTGGATGAAAGTTTGAACACTGGTTCGGTAGCGGCGAATTTACTTGATGGGTTCTCCGACCCTTTCGCTCCGAAAGATCCCTTTGAGGCGTTCGCGACGAATTCGAATTCCGGCGATATCCCATTCGTCCCGGCTCAAGCTCCGCCGGTCGTCGCAACGATCGAGCCATCTCGGAGGAGGATGAAAATTTTCGAGAGATTAATGAGCGAGAAGCTGTGTAACGCCGGATGCGTCGCTTTGGACGTCAATTTCGACGATTCTGGACGAGCCACACTCGAGGACGCGCAACTGATTTTTGGGAGCAAGTTTGTTTGACCAACTCGCTGATTGATTATGCGTTGTAACAATTATCTACTACGTGCTGCGAGAGAGTTACGAGCGATGCATCGTCAGCGAGCGTTTGAGAATCACGCGAGATCGGGCGCGCGTCGTCCACAAAAAAAGTTCACATCTCTCAGGAGCGCACTCGTGAGTTAACGCTAGGACTGATCTTCACCCGGATATCACCCCGTGCAGTCCGCCCGTCACAGTTGTCATCATCGAGATGTCGAATTCTATCGAAAAACAAGCTCAATCGCGAGGCGCGCGTACGTACCTTTCTACATCACCTTGTGAATCGTATTGACGTCGACGTATTTGTCGCTCGTCAACGCCGCGTCCAAATCCGCCCACCACTCATGCAAGAACCGTTCGGCTATGATCCTAAACCAAGGACTCCATCGTAAGCCACTCCCAGGATCCATCATCGCCTTCAGCTCGCTCGCGCTCACCCACTTCGTATCGTCGATCTCCTCTGCGTTGACGTTCATCGGAAGTGATTCGCCGCCGCGATTGATTTTTGCGAATAAAATGTAATCCATCTCGTGTTCACCCCACGTCCCGCCTTCCGGTTGATTTTCGTTTTCCGCGAACTCATCCGCGGCGCAGTAATGCAAGCGAGTCAAAAATTTGATGCTTTCCGTAGGAACGTCCTCCGCTTCTATCCCGAGTTCGTGTTTCAACTTTCTCGTCGCCGCCCGTTTGGCGCCGAGACACCTTCCCGACGCGATCGCCACGGGGTCGTCCGTCTCATCCGGATCCTGCCCCGTGAGCTGATGCGAGCAGCACGTGTTCGTCCACACACTCGGGAATGTGATCTTATTTCCCGCTCGCTGTTGCAGTAACAGACGATTATCGCAGTCGAACAGAAACACGCTAAACGCTCGATGCAGCGCTCCGCGCGGCGACTCTGAGATGAATCGGTGGGCGTTCTCTTTGCTCTCCGACCCCTGTATCTCGTCTCGTTCGCTCACTAATATCACCCGATCGTTCTTCATAAAGTCAAGCTGGGATTGCGACGCGTCCCACGTCGTCGACGACATCGCGCGCGATGAATTCGTTCGACGACGATCACAAACTCCTTCGAGGTTTCTTCGTGAAGACGACGCGCTTCGTGTGCGCGCTCGTTCGTTCGCGGCGACGCGAGCGGGTCGATTGGTGAGCGCGGATGCGATGACGCGCTCGAAGGGCGTCGCACGCGCGACTCGGGCAAGCGCGTCCCCGAGGGCGCGCATGCGAGTGAGGTGCCGGCGCGAGTGGAGAGCGAAGAGGAAAGCGCGAAGCGTCATGGAGATCGCGGTGCGCCTCCGAAGAGAGCGCGGATCGACGTGAAGACATTCGTCTACGCTCGTATGACAAATAACGTCGTTACATCAGTGCCCGATGTAATACTGGAAGAAGAAAAGTTTGAGCACCACGGCGAAGACGAAGTGCGAGGCGCCGATGAAGGTGACGAACGACATGGCAAACGCGTTCCCACCTCGCTCGCCCGCCATCGTGCGCTTACGAACGTTGCTCGTTAAGAACAACGTGCTCACTGCGGCGCATATGGCGAAGAAAATCCATCTGAAGAGCTCGAGCGGGACCGTTGCGAGGACGCACACCGGAATGAACGCGAGGACGCTGTAACCGTACAGGCACCACACATCCGACACGCGCAAGTTCTCCACGCGCGCGTAGCACGACAACATCAGGTACACGAACAACGAGAATACGAACACGTATCCGTAAATCAGCGCCGCGCTCAGACTCACCGTCTTGGCGTCGAAATCCCACCCTCGCTTTCCGTGCGAGTTGTATTTCGCCCACGCGCTCCCGAGCGCCGTCAAGAAGACGAGCGTCGCGCACCCCCAAATCGGCGCGTACAGATCGGGGTTCCCGTTCACGACTTGGTCCAAGAAATCCCCTCGATGCGGTGACGTGAACACGCTCGACGCCCGCTTGACCACGTCCTCGGTGTCGACGTCAAAAAATTGTTGATAATACGAAAGGCTGAAGATCCACCCGCGTCGTCTCTGCGGCGCCGCCGCCTCGGGATCGCTCGTCCCACCCA